AAAATTACAGAAATACTCAAAAGTCAACAAAATCAAATATGATGTATGTGGAAAGACAAATGGTGGTGGAAGTAATGATGATGCTTTAGTGGTGGTGGAAAGACCCTGAGTTGTCGGTTACCTTGTAGGCCTACTTAGACACTGCTATTGGGTAGATCTAATGAGAGTGCCGTCTTTTGATTTTTGACACAATTACACTACAATAACATACTACATCGCAATAACGACCGGTGAGTATCACTACGAACACTTATTCAATATGGAGAGGCTGGTTGTGCTCGAGGTGCTCTTGTTCTTGTAAGGAAACAATAAAGAAAACAATACTTGTACATAATAAATTTTTAATCAACACTCAACAATTTGTCACAAGCCATTAAATCTTGACTGTATTTGGAATACCACATGAAGTACTCAGCCAATCACATCCGTCCAAATAACTAAGTGCAGGTGCTCGATTTAACGTTGTGTCAATTGATCTGCCTCACTCAACCGTCAACACTTAAAATTCAACACACAACTGTTCTTGGAAGTAAAACAACAGGACGCTCAAACTCAAAGACTGACATGCTCAGTAAACCAATTTTCTTTTATTAAAAATTCACTTCATCATCATAGTTTATTGACAGAATGCGCAGTTAGTATATATTTCACGGATTAACAAAAAGTGCTGTGCGATCCGCTGATCAACAGAATGCGCAACAATCGATGGATCGTTGCGCGTTTCCTCGATCAACCAAATGCGCTGTGCGATCGGTGAATTGCGCAAATCGACAGATCGGGCCCAACAATTATACACGATACAGTAGAGAATCTTCGGAGGTACAGCATGGAATGACATGTTGGGTCAGTGGCTTGACATATTATCTGTATGGATGTGTTTCGCACAATAACATTTCACACTTGCGGCTAACTGCAGCACGTCAGCCATGCTCTTGTGATGGAAGAGCTTAGATTGTTGATGCTCAGAACCGTAAGAATGTAGGCGTGAAATTGAAACTCGGTAAATGCAAAGACTATAAAGCATGCTAAAATTGCCGTAAAGACGCCAGGAGATTCCCCCCCCCCCCCCTTCGGGCCCGATAAACAATGTGCAGAAGATATTACATTACTGGTACATGATCTCCTGGAAAAATATCGCTCCAAATGTTGTGCCATGGTAGTATACACGATCCTTGGTGCCATGCGGTTGGATATGTTTAGATCATGTAGTCACATGATCGAAGGGGTATCCGGGTCTGACGTACAAGATGGCCGCCTTACATAAAAATAGTTTGCGTCGTTCTATGTTTAGTCGCATGTCTCTGACACTAACTAACCCTCACTTGTCTCAACCATGAATTATTGACGAAAATAGCTTTTGTCATATTTTAAGTTGTTCTGAAAACGTCTAGAACTAGATTTAGGACTCCTCGCATGCTTCACAGGTTGGCAATGCTTTTGCCTTGGGATCGATCAGGAATGCTGCTTAAAATTTTCTGTGGTCCTTTAAATAATTTTATCTCTACATCTATATTATCTAGGCTACAAATTAGGTCGATTTTTTCATGTTGGCCTATTAAGAATAATACGGGGTGCCCATTACGGCTGGATCCTGCGGATCGCACGACTCGGTCGCCTGAAACTGAAAACAAACATCCGTAGTGGGCGCCCCGTATTAGGGGACACAATGGAGTTGATACTTGGACAAACCCAGAAATACTGAAACTATGTAATGATTGGCAATCTGTTTTTAAAAAAAAGATTCTTAAAATTCGTTTTGTGATCTACTGTAATTCTGTTATAATTCAAGAGAGTAACTTCTCATTATATTTTTGATTTGACTAAAAAGGTTTGGGGAGTGCAATCTGACATGCCAATTTATTCTGCACTTCAGTGGAAACAGGCTTGTAAGAACCAGTCTACTTTTCTTATTTTTGTTACATTTTTTCCAGATCCTAGATTATTTCGTGAAGAAATTTTTTTAAATTGAAGTAAAGCGTTATGCTCACAGTATTTCTGTTCTCTTGTCCTTGGAATTCAGGGCACAGGACAACTCCCTAGGGGTAAAGGGTTGTCATGATTAATTTTAGTTTTAAATCTGATTTTCTGACTGTACTGTGAACTGTCTTTTGTTTGTACTGAACTGTTACTCTTTTCTATTTTCATGTAAACTTTAACTTTAAAAAAGTGCTGTTATTGGGCTCCCCTAGACAGAAGATTATATATTAAAAATGTTCAAGCTTTGTTTTTCATTAGGAGCTGAATTTTATAAATAATTTGTAATGCTATGTATTTTTTATAGTAAGTTACTGTTTCTAACTAAAACAAACATTATTATTATTTAGAGTGTTCCAATTCTACTGTAGCTGACCAGTCATTTGTAGTGTACGTAAGTCAATCATTATTTTGTTTTGCTTCAGTGACCACTCCCCAAGGCAGAACATTATAATGTTCAAGTTTTATTTCTCTTTAGAAGCTGAATCGTGCTTTATATATAATGGTGCTACATATAATTATATATAGTGAGGTACAGGATCTTAATTAAGAGTTTTCTCAATGAAACTAACACAATAGTCAAGTTATTATTTTAGAGTGTTTCAGTTCTGCTGTAGCTGACCAACCACTTATGAAGTAGTAGTTAAAGTCAATCATAGTTTAATATAGTGTCTTGCTCAAGGACGCACCTCGGTGACCACTCATCTGAATCATTAATTACATCATGTCTCAGACATTGTTTGACCATGTTTGTGGAGCTTCAATGATTGTATATTTTTGGAGATGCATTACAACTCTTTTTTTGAATTCTACAAAGTATGCTATCTGTAATAAATACCATCGTTTTTTACCCAACAGCATGATTACATACTACATACTGACCTAGGCCCATAATTGTGGTTGTGTTTATATTCTGATGCTGGAAATGACACTTCCCCAAGCTGCTGAACCCCCTCCATAATTATATGAAATTACTTTGGTAACTCTTTGTGGAGAGAACTGGTCAAAATTTGTAAAAGGGGAAATTATTTGTGTCTGCAAATGAAAGGGTGTGACTAGGCTGGTACCACTACATCTGCAAAGCTAGTCTGGGGAGTTTTAGTCTTGCATGCATGGTCATGCACAGGCTTGTGTGACTTAAAGAAGGTTGTGTGAAATCTTTCGGGGGTTTTTTGTTGTTTTTTTTGTTTGTTTTAGTAAGCGTTTTATGATACGTGCAACACAATTAGGTCATAAGTACCGAAGATTAGAGGTGTTACAAGAGAGATTAACGAACTAAAAAAAGAAAAGGAGGAGAGATAAGGATGATAATTGTTTGATAGGAAAGAAGATGCAAACCACACCAGAGCACCCGTCAACCACCCATGTGTGGAATCTGGTGCGAGAAAGCCAAGCAAAACGTCTAACAAGCAAATTTTCGAAGGATATGACTATATTTTTGTTAGGATGCTGATGTTTTCTTTGGGAGAACTTTTGCAATTATCAAAAATTTACAATACGCAATAACTATATTTGATCAAATTAAAATACAGAGATCATATACTAGTGCTCAGAGAAGTGAGTCGACTAGAGTAGCATTAAAATATTTTTGTGTTTCATTCACTCAATTCAGTGTTACATCTTACAATATCTATTAATCGATTGTCTATCTACTGATACTTTTTCAGTTAACTCAGAGGCAAATGCCAGACGGATAAACAATGTTGAACAGTGCTTTGGTTCATCTGGACAGGTAAGCTTTTAAATTTGTATGCTAGGAAAGCAAAGTGTTAACTAATATTTATTATTCTTACCCTGAACTTTGACAAATTACATTGATGGAAATTTTTTAGCTACTCTGTTAGCGTTAGCTTTGTTAGCATGTTATGCTGGACAATTATGCTAATGACTAGTTGTAGTGCCTGAGTAGACATTTCTAGGAAAAGTGGAGGTGTTGGTGAGATACAGGTAGGATTCGTGCGTATGAGGCAGAAGAGCTGAAAAGATTGGGTGCAACAGGAGGGAAGAGGTAAAGACAGCTCAGTTTCAGGCTAGATACAGGAGAATGTGTCTTTGATTGAAGTTCTGATGTTGGGAAAATTGAGCATTAGTGAGCAAGTAAATGTGATTAAAACTAGATCTTTCTGTTGGGTCTTTAAAAAATATTTACAGTAAGTAGTCTCCGCCTAAGATCTCTGTGCTCGGGAGCAAAGAAAATGCGGGATCTTCGACTACTCCAGGGAAGAATCTATGGTGACCCATGTTAAGGCTCAAAATCTGTAAAATGGTCTCCCTCCAGTCTAAAATGAACTGACTTGACCCTTAGGTGGGTTTATGACATAAATGGCAACAAAGAGTATTTTGTATTCAATTGACCAAGATTTTATGTTGTGAAGTTACAGTGCATATGTATATAATGGCTAATCAATCCAATCACTTGTCAGCACAATCACCATGGCCGTGATCCTTTGTAAACAATTATCATATCATGTTCTCCCCTTTTCTGTTTTCAGCCACTTGGCATTCCGGGCAGAGTGCTGGTGGGAGAGGGAGTCCTCACCAAAATGTGTCGCAAGAAACCAAAGCCAAGACAGTTCTTTTTGTTCAATGATGCCCTTGTCTATGGGAACATAATAATACATAAGAAAAAGGTGAGACTATGGGGGGGGGGGGGGTTGTGGTGGCTTTTTCTTTGCTGGAGTCATCATGATAATTTTTGCAATTCCTTTTAATGAGAGATGCTATCGAGCTTAACACACACAAGGGTCACTGAAGAGAAACAGAAAGTTAAATCTTTAATTTATGGGGATTTTTACTGATTTTGAGCATTGTTTTTATAAGATATAAATGATGACAACCATCAGGGTTTATTGAGATCGTTGTCAAAAGTGCCTGGCCTATGTTTGGGTAATTCAAATTGCAATTCTGAAATAAATTATTTAATTTCAGGAAATAATTTAAAATATTTCAGAACATAAAATGAGTGTCATAGTATAGTGACAATCAGGCTGTAAAAATTGTTTGCATTGGCAGACTCTCAGTGAGATTTTGTTGCATGCCGTTGAAATTGATATTTGTTTGTGCTTGCTATGATGCTAGAAAAAAGTTTTAAGTGGGATAACCAGTTTTTTCCTCTGATTCTGTAATTTTGAATATGAGAATGTTCTATCCAAATTCCTTTTATTCTCAGAAAGTGTGAGAACTGAAGTTTTGTTGCAATCTTTATGAGTTGGTCTTTTGAGTTGGACTTTTGTTTGCAAGTTTCGTTTGCAAGTCAACCTCAGTTTTTTTGTTCAGACTGAAATGAAATAAGTCATGCTTCAGTACTGTGTGGACTGAATGATTAAATTTGACTTTTGATTTTATTTTCTTTCCAGTACAACAAACAGCATATCTTGCCTTTGGAGGAGGTGAAGTTAGAAAATGTCGAGGATGAAGGAGGTGATTTATTTTAAAAAGTTGAAATGTTCAATCTCAGATTTTTTCAGTATATGTACTTTATAGGACAGTTATAGAGTGCACATTCCTTAATTCCAAGAGTTGGTTATGTGGGTTCTCTTGTCGTGATAGATGTAAGATTTTTGGCCTTTTTTAAAAGGAATTGACAGTGTCCTTTTACTATTTTCTATAACACAAAATATAAGTACATTTTAAGCAGAGGAACGTATGGGCATCTGTCTGTCTTAATGTCTGTCTCACCCTCCCTCCCTCTCTTTCTCTTTCTCTCTTTCTCTCCGGTTTCATTCTAGTGACTTTGTGTTTCGATATCACTCAATGCCCGACATAACTTGTAATATATTTATGAGAATGATCTCTGCCTCATCGTAACAAGCACTGTCAATGTTTGGGCAGGTGTAGATAAAAATGATTGTCCATACTTGCTTCATTATCATTAACTTGAAATGGGTTAATCATTCATCTTTGTTAGAAAATCGAAGTCCAATCTACAATTATTTTTGTCAAGTTAATGATGATCTTTATGATACACCCTCAGGTTTGCGGAATGGATGGAAACTTAAAAGCCCAAGCAAGTCCTTTGTTGTATTTGCCGCCACCGCCACTGAAAAGAAAGAGTGGATGGCACATATACGGAAGTGTGTGAATGACCTTTTGGCTAAACGTGAGTTGGAATATCTCTTCACATGATTGATCGGGCTGCTGTTTAGTTGTCTTTAACTTTTTAAAGTTACTTTGGGGAAAATTGATATTCCTGAAAGAATGTGTTAATTATGACTTACAGTTGACTTCGACTTGAAAATAATGTCTATTTTTTTTTTAATTAAAAAAAAATTTAATATTTGAGGTATGAGTAGTAGGTTCTGTTGATACCCAAATATAACCAATTCCTTTTCTCTGAGATGGGTTGTTTAAAAAAAAAAGTTCTACAATGCTGTGATAGGTACTGACAAAACTTAAATGATATTTGTTTTGTAAGACAAGATGTTTTTTCTTTATAATGTGGGCCATGCTTTGTTTGGAATAAAGTTGTTATTTGAGTTGCCTGCCTTTTATTTGTTTTTTGTTTTTTGTGTAAATTTTTCCAGTGAAGTGAAGCAATGTCTGTAGTGTCAGTCGCAATGTGGACTACTCTAGGAAAGCTAATTTTACAGTAATCTGAAAAAAAATTGGTTTTGTCCCTTTATACCATAGAGTTTATTCTCTTCTCAAATTTAAAAATTGTTTCCAGGAGGTATTCGCCAGAGCACTACAAATGACTCTCCCGTTTGGGTTCCTGACTCGGAGGCTAAGACGTGCATGCACTGTCGCAAGTCAGAGTTCAGTTTGGTCAACAGACGGGTAAGGATACAGCCTAAGCTTTATCATGCTTGCTTTCAAATTTCTCGTTGTCAGATCGGTGAAAAATTTGTCACTGTTATCATCTCTTAGCCAGGTTGTTCCATTCTTCTTTTAGTTTTATCCTTTTTTAAAACAATTTTCATCCTGCTCTACACGCCAAAAAATGTACATACGCACATAATGGATTTCCAGAGGGAGGCAAAGTGTGAGGGGAACTTACAAATATCTGAAAAACTTCTCTTGAACAACGTATACTAAGTAGGTGGTTGGCGTTTACTCTGGTGTGGTTTGCTTCTTCTTTCCTATCAAACGCCTGTCGTCTTTAACACCCTTCCTCCTTTTTGTGCTTGTTACTCTTGTGTAACAAAACTAATCTTTGACACTTATATGACCTTATCATGTTTTAAGTGCTGTAAAACACTTATTGAAACAAAAAGGATATACTTAAGTTAAGTAGCTAATTAAAAGACTGGGCCTGTGAACAAATAGTGTTGATAGAGGTGTACAACCACGCTAATAATAGATGTGGGTGTAAAAATCTACCTATTGTGTCGCTTGCGCTTATATGACCTTATGCAGTTGCGAGCGCCGTAAAACACTTGCAACACCCCGCGGGGTGGTTCCACTGACTGAAGTGTCTTTAGGCCATTCCCAAAAGGGGGACATTTCTCATTCTAATGCACAGTAGAATTGTAAATGGGCTGATCCAACAATGCCATGCTCGTAGTTGTGCCTGAACTACAGCAGGGAACTGCTGCTTTTTTTTTCCTAATCCTTACTATCATCATTTTCTTCTACTTCTTTTGTAAGTTTGTCACTCTCTTGTGACCTGCTATTTCCAGGGTGCCTTGATAGTCGAAGCAGACTTTGTGCTGTTGAAGCTAGAGAGGTGAGCTGAGTAAGTCTGATTTCCTGTAAGGACTTCTCTGTTGACATCCACCCACCCCTTGGCGCTCATATGACCTTATGCAGTTGCGAGCGCCATAAAACCCTCTACTATAATAATAATGGGGTGGGGCGTTGTGGGGTGCGCAAAATTTTCAGGCAATCTGGTTAAGGCTCACATGCAGGTCTAATATACTGAAGTTAAGTAGGTAATTAAAAAACTGGACTGGCCCTGTGAACAAATAGCGTTGATAAGGGTATACAACAGCACTAATAATAGATGTGGGTGTAAAATTCTACCTATCGATCCCCTCCCTAGCACCACTGCCGACACTGTGGCCGTGTGGTGTGCAATGCCTGCAGCAGCAAGCGGTGGCTCTTGCCGCAGCAGAGCTCCAAGCCGATCCGTGTGTGCCTTACCTG